AAAAAAAAAAAAAAAAAAAAAAAAGGCTAGCGGTCCGCAAGGTGAAAAATTAAAATATAAGGAGCCCACAGGATAATATTCGACAATATTTTGAAGAGGGTTATCCTTGAAAAGATTACTTATGGAATAATTTATTTTTAGGAAATCTTGTAGATTATGTAAAGTGCAAATGTTTATTTTACCTTTAAATTAATTTTAATACAAATTATTCATATATAACTAAATAAATAAAATTTGTTTGTTTCACTTAATTTACTCTAAATAATATTTTATCTTTATATAAATTAAAATAATTATACTAAACGAGAATATTTTTAAAATTATTTTTAAATAAAAGTGTTTTAACTTATTTTCTTCGAAAAGAATATTTTTAAATATTTTTCTCAATCTCTGATCTTTTCAATTTATCTCTTCTATTTTTATTATTATTAAATTAAATTTAGTATTTCTTTTTAAAATTATTAATAATTAAAATAATATAATATTATATAAATAGTTTATTATAAATTTAAAATATAGTTTATACATTAAAAATATTTATTTATTACAAAATTTAATTATGATATAAATTATATATAATATTATAAATTTTAACTATATAAATTAAATATTTATTCTATATATTTGCATGTACTATATATATATATATGTTATAAAATAAAAAGGAATAGCAGAGATTCACGAAGCATGAACTACCGAAAGTATTTTTAAAAAAAAATAAAATAATAGAGAAAAATTTGAAAGATTTTCGTTTGGTAGTGAAGAAAAGATTTGGTGGGGGATGATGAGATGCCCCATTAATCTGTTGCCCAAACGTAATTGTAATCTATGGGGTTGGGCTTGGTGGGCCCATTAAATAACCCTCCAAATTCAAATTATATTATTTTATGATCAAGTAATGATTTTTTTTAAAAAAAAGAAGGTTGGGTTTTGTACCTGTCGTTTCCCGGGAAAATATGAAAAACGCGCCATTTTTCACGTTTGCTGCAGCAAGAGAATCGGAAAGGAAATACGAGAAATTGTTGGAAACTTGAAATGTATATATAAAATTAAAAAAAAAAGTATAAAGAGGGTTATCCTTGATGGATGGACCGACAATAATAAATAATAAATAAATAAGAAATGAGGAAAAAAGAAAGGCTGATTGATTGTTTAGGCTTGTCACCGTTTCCTCCATTTTTCCTTTTGGGGACTCTCTCTCTCTCTCTCTCTCTTTTTCTCTTTCTATCACACTTACTGCGATACATACATATGGTACATCCTTCATTTCATTTTTTCTTTCTCAATTTTCCCCCAATTTTACTAGGGTTTTAATTGCACCCCCAATGCACTAATCATTCTTCATTCATTTCTCGTTAATCAATCTCCCACCGCACCATTCATTCCCATCTCAATTCATACTTTCTGTTTCCAGCCATGGCGTATGATCAGAATTCCGTTCCCATGGATCTTCGTCCGCTGAACATGGCCGCCGCGGTGGCGGAGGAGCCCTTGATTTCTCCGGCCACCGTCACGCCGCCCACGCCCAATTCCGTCGGGGAGATTTTCTACACGCCCTCGGCCACCGCCGGCGCCGCCGCCACGTGGTGCGTCCGCCCCATTGCGCATCCCAACGTCAGCCCCGCCGCGTTCGGGTTTAACTACGGCGGTTCCGGTTACGGCAACCGCGTTGTGGCGGGGAATGCTTTGAATATGGGCAAGGTTTTGGGCTGTAATGGATTGGACAAGGCCTGCAATGATGTGAATGGTTTCGGTTATGGTGTTGGCGGTGGCGGTGGCGGTGTTCGGGGCAGCAGAGCCGCCGGAAGCGGCGGTGAACACGGCGGCGATGATGGCGGTAGCGACGAATCAGCATCGGGGAGGAAGGTGAAGTTTCTGTGCAGTTTTGGTGGGAAGATTTTGCCTAGGCCTAGTGATGGAATGCTGAGATATGTTGGGGGGCAAACGAGGATCATTAGTGTTAGGAGAGATGTGAGTTTCAATGATTTGGTGCAGAAGATGGTTGACACTTATGGGCAGGCTTTGGTTATTAAGTACCAGCTCCCCGAGGAGGATCTTGATGCATTGGTGTCTGTGTCGTGTCCTGATGATGTGGAGAATATGATGGAGGAGTATGAGAAATTGGTTGAAAGATCTTCTGATGGTTCTGCTAAGTTGAGGGTTTTTCTGTTTTCTGCTTCGGATAGTGAATGTTCTAGTGGGGTGCAGTTTGGGGACTTGCAAGATACCGGGCAGAAATATTTTGATGCTGTGAATGGGATTGGTGTTACAGAGGGGGTTGGGGGTGGGATCAATAGGAAGGAGAGTGTTACAAGTGCTGCATCAACACAGAATTCTGATATGAGTGGAGGTGAGGCTCTTGACGGTTCAATTACAGGTCAAGGAGATGTGAGTGGGGTGTCCTTGTCATCATCTAAGGAGAATGTGTCAGCAGCTTCTTCAAACACAAGTTCAAATTTGGTGGTTTCAGAGGCCGGTGCATCGGTTTACTTGGGTAATTCCGCGGCTACGTTGGCTATGCCTGTTGCTAAGAATAGTCCTACTACCCACAATCCTTATTTCCAGAATGAGTTGGAAAAGTCGGTGCCTGTTACTTTGTCCCAGCAGCCATTTGGATTGCAGCAATCTGGAACAGAGATTCCGGTCACTTCACCTTATTTGCAGCCTTTTGTTGATCCGGGCCAGGAGGTTATGAACCATGCAGATTATGTCCAGCTGCCTTCCCAGATGGGGTTCACAAATACTCAGATTTTAGGAAAGACTGGGACTGTCTTCACCCCACAGCAGTTTCATGATAATACTCCTGGTTTAGCTTTCCATCCGGTCATCCCTGGGGTACAAATGACAATGACTCAACCATCTTCTCATGGAATAAGACCAAATGTTATTCAACAACCACAACCACAACCATTGGTGCAACCTCAGCAACATCTTTTGGATCAATACAATGATGAAAATACATCAGGAGTAAGGATTATCCAGGTTCCTGCTGAACGTAGCTACAACACATATCAGGTTCAAGCGAACCAAGTTCCTTCTGTCATAGTTGGTGGTAATTATGGCTGGGTTCAGGTTCCTCCACAAGAGCGTGTTGTTATTTCTGATGGATTGTTATCTCAACAACAGGTAATGATCCCTGAGAAAATCCGAAGAGCCGAGGACTGTACTATGTGTCAAAGAAAACTGCCTCATGCACATTCAGATCCAGTAGTTCCAGATCAGCATAATAATGGTGCATGTCCCAGTCCTGGTTCATCCCCAAGTCACCGTAGTTTCCCGATGGAGGACAACATAAAAGCTCAAGCAGCAAATAAGATTATGCCAATGAAGGAAGGCATTGCTGAACAAGGTGCTGGGACCAGACCCAGGGTTGTTGGAAAATTGGAACCTCTTGATGGAGTACATCATACTGAGACCACTGGGCTTTCTCATAATATTGAGCCACAGCCTGAAGGTGGGAGGATTTTTATGCAAAAGCCAGAAGAATTTGATCATTCCAGGAATTCATTTTTCCAGGAAAAGATTGGAAGGAGAGGTGAAAAGCAATCTCCAAATGATGAGCTCATGGGAAACGCACCACTGTCTTATCTACATGATGTTGCTGACCAGCACATGGTACCAGTTGAAAATTGGGTTAAACAGAATGTGCTTCTTAACAAACCTGTCAGTAATGATACACCTATAGTTGATGGAACATCTATACAAACTTCAGAGTGTATGGTTCAAGGATCTCAAAAAGAATATACTAATGAGCTTACTGGGGTTGGTTCTAAATCAGATGCCATAGATAATTGGATTAGACAAGACCATCTAAAAACTATTGATGGAAGGATGGACACCTTCAACATACGTAATTCTGAAGTTTATGTAAGTAATGATTACTCTTTTCTGCCGGTTGATAAATCCAGTGGGAATGATAAATTACATTACAACTCTCAGCAATCTGTAGAGGAAGAGGTGATTCTGGACAACAACTTTGGCAGGTCTAAATTGATAGTTGATGCGAATCAAAGTAAGATGACAGGTATGATGCCTTGTTCTATGGAAATTTCATACGGGCACAATTCCAGGTCAGGGGAATGCAATGAGGCTGCACAGCCCCCTGTTTGGGGCATTCCTGGGTCAAATTGTCCACCGAAGATTGGAAACCCCCACAGGGATGATTTAGTATCATCTTCATCCCCATCTGTCAGGTTTGGAGAGGTGCAGGATACTCCAAACTCACTTTTCAGCAATCAGGATCCCTGGAATATTCAGCATGGTACCTTCTTTCCACCTGCTGGACCTAACAAAGATGCATTGAAGAATCGTAATGATCACTTTGGTGAGAACTCAGGCAACTTTGGGGAACAAAGTTTAGAAGCACAGTTGGATGATACCCTCTACCAGTCATTCAAACAAAATTTAACTTTAGAACATGGTCGATATGCCAAAGGTCTATAAATTGTTTAAGTCCTAAACTATGTAACTCTGTTTCTGATAGATGGTCATGAAGCTAATACCATATTCTGTTTTGGTTTCTTAATTGAAGGTTCAGCAGAAGACATTGGTAACA